TTCGGCCTCCAGTGTCTTCGTCGCAGTTCCTCCGCCCAGACGATACACCACGACGGAGAGGCTGTTCATCAATGAAGGACCCTCGATCAAGTCCATGGCGACTGAGCTCCATGTGGTTGGATGGACAAGTGCCGCATGCTGTGCTCCTCGGGCGTGTTCATCCTCTCCTTGATGTAACTAACTGCCGGTTAGACTTCCAAGAGATAAGCTCCACCAAGCATTAAAAAGGAACGTTTGGGCGGTTCCAGAGTTCCCTCGTCGTGAAGTCATTTTTCTGGGTGGAACACTTTTAGGCACTGCGAGCCCTTTTTTTTTTTTGACTCACTTTTCTTTCATCTCGTCCACCTTGCCCTGCTTGCATCTGCTGTGCCGCTCTATTCACCTGCGCAGCGAAGCTCTGGAGTTATATAGGTCTCCGAGCGCGTTCAGAACCAGCCCTTCCCTGTCGGATCTCTCCCCTGACTCACCCCCCCAACAACACGCCGCCGAAGTGACTAGGATTAGCCTATCCTCAACGTATCCTCCGCAACCGGGCGATCCCGCAACCAACAGTTATATACATCCCATCCGCCTCCTCTCCTGCGTACGGAGTGCTCCGTTTGCGTTATCGCTTTTCGATTTCGTCGGGTTTACATCACCGAGTTTTCGAGTTCTCCCCGTCGCCGGCGTCCAGATCCAGCCCGTGTCCCGTCGTACAGTCACTGCTACACCGACATCATACCTTTCGACTGGCCCTGTCGGTTTTGTTATTGTCACATAAAACCCACCTGTATGCCCACGGGCAGCCGCAGAACCAATATATTTTGCCAGGATCTGGCTCTGCGCGATCAACTTGAGTGAATCGATTCTACACGACCTGCTCCGCGAAACCGTTCCTATTTTTCAACTTTACGGATATCGCCCATGGTTTCAGTCATCAATAACGATCGGGCGGCGTTCCTAGCAAAAGAAGCTGTTGACCTTGTGGATGCTGGCCACCGCGAGGTTTGTTTGCTTCGTTCGGAAGTGTATGTGGTTCCCTATGCTAACACAAGGTCCTTCTTCCCTAGGCTGCCTCCCGCAACCTCCGCGAGGCTATATCTCTCTCTCCTGAGAGCTCGGAAGTCAAAGCGGCATTCCTGAAAGTCAACCAAGATGAGCAGAATAACCACCCGCTGCTGAGCCTTTGTCGGCGTTATGTGAATCAACAAGATGAAGCTGCGGGCAAGGAGGCTGCCAGGTACCTGCGTCAAGAAGGGCTGGAGCCGCCTGCTGATGTCGCCCTGGAATCCTTGAAGCTTGTTCTTGGGACTCCTGCATCGAAGCTCTCTGCGATCCAAGACGATATCATCAGTGGCTTGGCTCGTCAGACTGTCTGTTGCCGCCAGTATTTCGCCGCGGAGCTTCAGAATTCTGTCACGCAGTTTTTCGATGAACTATACGACCGTGGCGACGGCTCGGTCGTCTGCTTAGATATGATCGTACTGGATAAGGCGCTCTGGCAATCGGATAAAGCCAGAA